ATATATATTTTATATATATATATATATATATATATATATATATATATATATATATATATATATATATATATATATATACATTATATATACATATATACAGATTGAACCAAATTAAAACGGAACATACAACTTAATACATGTCTGTTTGAACTGCATTTGAAATAGTGGACCAATATAAAACTTGGACAAAAATAAATCCATACCTGGGTATAGACATTGTACAAAATATCGTTCAACTATCTGTCTCGCAACAAAGTTGTTTGCGTAAGACGGGTTTGTCTAAGGGAGCGATAATAGTTCAGGAAATGAATCTCCAAAAAAGTTAAAACCTCGCAATTTTTTTGTCCTGCATGTATCCAGTTGAAATTTTAAATGAAGGTAGGTGATAGCCCAAGGATCAAAATCTATATTGAACTGAAGTCCGCTGAAGGGTTTTAGGGGTGAAAACTACCCCTAATTGTCAAAAATTATAAAATAACATATTAAACCTGAATATGGGTAAGATTTGGTTTGAATTAGTTAAATAATGATTATTTTATACTTTTGAATAGAGTTCCATCATATTTCAACCCTTAAAAAGCAACCCTTGTCAAAGATTAATGTAAAAAATTACTAATTCTAAAAAAATGATTTCGCCTTGGATCGATTTGGATAAAAATTTGGATTTAAGCTCAATTCACCCGCTGCTTTATAGTTTATGTCATGTCGACAAACCCTGATTGTTCTTAGGGGTGAAAACTGCCCTTAATTGTCAAAAATTATAAAATAACATATTAAACCTGAATATGGGTAAAATTTGGTTTGAATTAATTAAATAATGATAGTTTCGTGCTTTTGAATAAAGTTCCATCATATTTCAACCCTTAAAATGCGACCCTTATTAGAGATTAATATAAAAAAATTTAGTAATGCGAAGAAAATGATTTCACCTTGGAACGATTTGCATAAAAATTTGGAATTAAGCTCAACTCACCCTCTGCTTTATAGTTTATGCCGATGAACCCTGATTGTTCTTAGGGGTGAAAACTACCCCTAATTTTCAAAAATTGTAAAATAATATTACAAATCTTAAGATGAGTGAAATTTGGTTTGGATTGGTTAAATAGTGATTTTGTATACTTTAAAATACAAATTCATACATTTTCAACCCTTAAAAATCAATTGTTATGACTGCTATAAGTAAAAACAATTTTTTGCCAAAGTTTTGCAACTTTTCAGCTTTTCAAAATCACCCTTTACAACATTGCAGTTTTTATAGACAATTTTATAAGATATAAATTGAAAAAAGTAAAATTAAATACAAAAAAATTTATCAACATAAAAAGGCACCATATATTTTTATACATTTACATAAATAGTTGAAAATATTTACATTTATAGGTAAAACAATTATAATATTAATTTTATTCGTCATCAATTACATCTTCATCGTGATTTATGTCATCCTCATCTTCTTCAATTATTGATGGACTGTTATTGCACCCTTCACCTGAGCACCCAGAACAAGTAGAGTTACAGTATAAACCAACTTTTCTGCACCCACATGAAACGCCGCATCCTTTTTTGCATTGGCAAAAAATAATTTTCAAAAGTTCATCGGGTGCAGGTTGTTTGTTCGTGCGTACGGGTAATAACAAACCATCTTTGAAATACCATCACCAATCTGTTGCTCTGATATTTTCATTGTCAAGCCATAGACATATGAGCAGATGTTTTATTCTGTTGTATGGGATTTCAAAATAAGAACGCTTACAATTTCGAATGTATAACGCCCCACTACCTAATATACCGGTTTTGTAGAATATTATGCTCCGAAATGTACTTTACTATACTAATGGAATTTTCCGGAAATAAATTAACTGGTTTTTAACGTATTTCCTTTAATTTTTAACGATAGAGTGTTTCTTCAAAAACAATTTGTAGAGGTTTTTAAGAGCTACAAGGATCTGTGAATTAAATCTTTTTGGAACCCTTGGTTTTTAAATGGGGTGAGTTTAAAGGGCTCGAAAAAGATGGTGCTTGATCGTAAATCGATGCTTTAAACGGCTATATCTCGCCAAATATTCATTGTACAACAAATCTAAATAAAGGATAATTTTAGTCATTAAAAAAGCTACAATTTGGTAATTTTTATTTTTTTCATATATTCAGTATTTTCGGGCATATTTAAAAAAAGAACGGTAAAAAATATAAAATTGTAAATCGTTTCTCGCTTTAAGCTGTACTTTTTCTAAAACTAAGCATTTTAAATGGGTCAAACTTCCTGTACGTATTAACAATACATGTACAAAGGGAATTGCAGAAGGGTGAAGATCGATTTTGATTATGAGGGTGGTTAGGGGGTTGTTTATATCGATTTTTTCGTAAAAAATGAGGTATTGACCTTATTTTCATCATAACTCACTCAATTTTTGAGCTAGAGTCTTTTTTTTATGATAGTTCTATTTATGCTCTTTAAAAAAGGTTCTGTTTTCTTCCAAAAATGCATCATTTTCCCGATATTTGACTATGAATCTTTCAAATTTGGCATTTGAAGAAAACCGCTAAACATTGATAGGCCGTATTTCGGTTCCTATTATATCGCAAAAACATTTTAAAAATGAATTGTATTTGTCTTTTTAAAAGCTACAAATTTGTTTTCTACAATTTTTTTGATAAAATGCACCATTTTCGAGTTATTCGCGAAAAATCGATTAAAAACGTGGATTTTTTCGTCTAAAAGTTGTTACTTTCAATCGCGAATAACTTGAAAAATATCATTTTATAAAAAAAATGTATAGCACATTTTTTGTTTAGAATCACTTTTTTAATCGAAACCTGTAGTTAAAACGTAAAAAAAAAATTTCACCCCGCAGATGGGGTGGCAACCACCCCTAGGCTTTGGCACACTTTGGTTCGATATAGATTTTGATCCGTAGGCTATTACCTACCTTCTGTTAAATTTCAAGTCAATCTACGCAGCACGAAAAAATTGCGAGGTGAAATACTTCATTTCCTGGACTATAACTGGTTTGACAGCATAATAAAATCGTAAATTTATGTGTAGCTTTCAATTTTTATGAGTTCAGAATCCAGCAGCCCGCTGAAGTATTGGATTTTTATAATATAATTATTTGACAATCTTTTGTTGGCCAACCACCTACAACAGAATTGAGCCGAAATACATTATATTCCTATGTTCCGAATTTATTTCGTTCAATCTGTATATACATATATATATATATATATATATATATATATATATATATATATATATATATGTATATATATATATATATATATATATTATCAACTTTGTTGTTTATATATATATATATATATATATATATATATATATATATATATATATTATATATATATATATATATATATATATATATATATATATATATATATATAGATGAAATATGAGATTTATATCCAAGATGACGGACAGTTGGATGGCTAGATAAGTGGCATTGAGGCCATAGAAGTAGCCTCTGGGGGTATAGGAAGTGATGTACAAGAAGTATAAGTCTAGAAGAAGTACACCCTGTCGACATAGGATTGAAAATGGTGAGAAGTAGAGTTGCAATTAATAATTTGCTGGCAGAGCTGCTTAGGAGGCGTTGGGGCCTGTGTAGATATACAAGAAAGCCTGGTGTTATGTAGCTATTTAGTAACAAAATATGATAAATGGGGATATTAGGCAATGTAACGCCACCTAAGCAACTCTGTCAGCAAATTATTAATTGCAACAATTCAGAGGCTACTTTTATTTTATAAAATAATTGACTGGCTAAAAGACTGTCACAAGATTATACCCAATTTTGTGATGCAATATCACAAACGAACTGTGATCAGATGTAATATTGGCACCAGAAAAAAGTTTTTACAGATTTTTCTGTATTTCTGTAACTCTCACTGATGAATATGTACTCAATTTGATTACTCACAATATAACGAGGGGTATTTCCGTTTAGGTAGTTTAAAATAAGAATTCATTATACATAGATTATATTCTGTCCAAATTCTGCAATTATGTAACTTTATCTGCCTTTTCCTATCTTAGCATTAAGGTCACTCAGCAGAATAGTGGGATCTCTAGCCTTGAGTAGTTCAGCAACAGTTTTTACAGTAGAAATTTTTATTTTCTTCTAATTCACTTTCCGCCGTAGGTGCATACACTTGTATTAACTTTATGTTTCTGGCTTTCGCATTCAACTGAATCATTATAACTCGTTTAGATACCTGGCATACAGCGCATTTTGTAAACTCCCTTGAAGATATGAATCCTACACCATTACGATAATCTTTGCTATCTTCTGAATAATATACTTCTTGATTATCCTGAAAACCGATGGACAAAACATATTGTCGAGTGGAGACCAAGACAAGAAGCACTACGGAGCAAAGTACGTGCACTAACCAGATTAGACTGATGACCTGAAGCGTATTAGCAGTAACTGAATGCGAGCCCCACAAAACAGAGACATATGAAAAGTCTTATTTAGACCTATGTTCAGCAGTGGATGCATACAGTTTGATGATAATCAGTATACACATTGCATTGGTCAGATGAGGACTAACTCATTTCACTAATACCCAAAATTGATATATGCAGTCAGCTTATCTCATTTATTGCATTATGTGTTTTCCGGATTCATATAAACTTCGCATATTACCTCTGTCTATTCCACAACTCATTTCGATATCAAATTTGGTCAAGCGGGAGATTCTTCATTACCCTGCCTCATTAAGAATACATTCCTGTATTCGGGGCCTTCAAGTACCTGTCAGAGAATCCCCTTTAAAATATTTTAGCTAACATTGAAATAGCAGAAGAAAATAATTTCAGAACCATATTGGAAATTTTTGCTGATACTATTTATATGTGAGAGTTATTCTTATCCCAAATCAAATTTAACAAGTAATTCAAACAGTGATTCAACAAATTTTAAAAACAAAATAAAAGATAAAAATAATCTTAATGTTAGATTTATAAATATTTGATAATTTACCTTTAAAAACATCTGAAACTAATATTGGTGATCCGATAAAAGCACATTGATTATCTTGATCTTTCTGCTTGTGGTTGGACCTCACTCTTTTTGGTGATGGATTATAGTCATTTCCCAAGCTGCTTTTCTTTCTTTTTTCCATTCTATTCTTATTAATATTTCTAGTTTTCTTATTTGTTACACTTACGAAAGAACTTGACATATTACACTGGTTAACAGTTGTAAAAGACATCGGACAAGATAGACTGTTAGAAGGGTTTCCTATTACAAATGAAAATATTAATATACGTTAACATTTGGTTAATTTAAGTAATTTATTATTAGTTTATGTTAAAGCACTGCAAAAATACAATTATGAAGAATACTTGACTTGAACAATAAAAATTGGCTTTACCATGAAATCAAGTGCATCCAAAGAAATCAAATTAAGGAAGAACAACAATACATGAAAAAAACACTTTGAGTTCTTTGCCTAGTTATTTCGCCTGTTGTCTTTCTACTTTGTGAGAATATTGTGAGAATGCAGGGTTAATACAAATTAAAAAGGATTGAAAAAGATGACAAGTTGACGCAATTGACGTCATTGTATATGGTTTCTTGGCCTAGATCATTTTATGTTCATGTTTCATCTAAAAGTCATTCTCAGCAAAGTAGACAACAAAAGTTTTTATGCAGACTGTGGATGATCACAAAAAAGTATTTATTCAGAAAACCTTACAGTTGCATTGCGGCGCAAAAAACAAGACATGCATATGTTTATTTATATTTTTATAATAATGCAGCGTTAACAGCACACAGCTAACCTGTATTCGAATCAATCAGCGGTGCTCCGAATAGATGAAGAATATACAATTGAGCCAAGCTCAATAACCTGCGGTATGCAGATGGTACGATAGTACTTTCCAATACTATATAACACAAAACGCAAAACTTAATTAACAAAATAACAGAAATAAGTAGCACATATGGACTGGATATAAACACCAACAAAACCAAGTTAATGATCATCAGCAAAAAAAAAAAAATAACTGAAGCAAATGTGTGTGAAGCAAATGAAAATTGAACGTGCCTCATCAATGAGTCGTGGGACAATACCCAAAAGATTAAATGTTGCATCAGAAAGGGAACAAGTGCATTATTGACTATGAGCTCTGTGTTTATGAGCTATGACCTCACCCTAGAAAAAAAAGGTTCCTTAAATGTTACGTGTCCTGAGTGCTTCTGTACGGAATATAAACGTGGACATTGAAGCCGGAAACTCTATCAAAACTTTAGGCTTTTAAGCTATGGTTATACAGAAGGTTCGTGAAGATACCATGAAGAAGTACTTCGGAGTATGAACACAACCGCGGATGATTTGGTTAACATCTTGAAGGGCCGTAAGCAGCAGTACTTGGAACATATAATGAGAAATCAAGGCAGATATGAACTAATCCCATGCATTTTGCAAGGTAAAATTAAAGGAAAACGGGCCCCAGGACGAAAAAGAATATCCTGTCTTGCTAATCTGAGAGCATGGTATAGAAAGACCTCAACACAGCTATTCCGTATAGCTACCAACAAAGTAATCATAGCCAGAATGATCGCCAACGTTCGGAACGGACAGGGTGCCTGTCCGTTCCGGACGTGTGTCCGGAAAATGGAGAACAGCACACAAACCTCCCGTTTACCCTTCTGCTTTATTACTATTGCCCTTGCTTTTTGAAACACGATATCTTCATTTTTCCAACTTGAAATTTATCGCACTTGGTAGTAAACCCTTTTTTCATTCTAATAGTACCGTACATATCTGTGCGAACTGCTAATCAAAGTTCAATTAGTTCAGGAGATGTATACAAATTGTAGACTAATAGTAAAACAGTCACCTTTCGACAGTAGAGATTTCATTAGCGTCATAACAATACGTGTTGACACTGGAAGATCTTTATATTGTTCGTCAAACTTTGTATCTTTTCCCGTATAAATTATGTTATGCCAAATATATCCAGATGAGGATTCACATAGCATGTAGTTCTTTATACCAAATTGTGCCCTTTTGTTTAGAATGTGTTAAATCTATCCGAGTCTGCTTTTGTAGAGAAGTAAGCTCTCGTCGGTGTTTTAGGGTTATGTTATAAAGGTAGTACGTTTTGTTGGAATGACCAAATCAAGCGTCATAGACGGGAGATGGTTCTTGATAACTGATCCTCATAAGACACCTAACTCTCACTTATGACTCCACGTGCCACACCCCGGTCAACTGCATTAGTCTGCAGGCTAAACTAAGTGAGGGTAGCTAAATATGGCAAAAATTTCACCGAGTGATTGCCGGTATAAGCAGTCTCCAACTTACTGACCAACGGCTTCGGGCATAGGAGTTGGTAAGTGGTAGGGCATCTTTTTGTCCTGGGGTTTAGAAATCGACCCCAAAGGTGGATGAACCAAAATTTGGCCAACGGCATAAAGATGTAGAAGGTAAATGGAAACCACTACATTATAGATCCCTACGAATATCCCTGGAATAATTATCTTATATGTTAGACAAAATTGGAGCAAAGGCCCTTAGTCCAGGGCAGAACTTAGAAGGTCCGAGGGTGCTAAAAATCCTCTGGGTTCAACTTTAATATGTTATTCATAATGTAAAGACATGGAACGTCAATAGCTTGTGCATCCCAGGAAAGTTTCATAACCTGCTTAAAGAAATGCGGCGCCTAGAAGTTAAAGCAATGGGTGTAAGTGAATTTAGGTGATCTGTCTCAGTTATTTCTCACAAAGACAACTTTACAGTGTACTATTCCGGTAGCGACGCCATAGATAATTGCCACGGGCATGGAGTTGCAATAGTGCTTGATAATAAAATTGCGATGTCTGATATAGATTACATATCCGTTTTAAACAGAGTAATCATAGTGAAGTTGAAGTTAAGCTATTTAAATAATTCTAATCCAAGTTTACGCACCCACACCTGACAAACCGGAAACTGAAGTTTTAGATTTCTATAAAGAGATAAAGGAAGCATTAAAGGTCACAAAGAAAAACTATATCAACATCATAATGGGAATTTTTTAATGCCAAAGTCGGTAGGGGTAGATGTGGTAATGTGGTCGGTGATTTCGGGTTGGGTAACAAAAATGAGCGAGGAGAGTTACTAATGAAATTTTGTAATAATCACGATTTCATCAGATCCAATACGTGGTATCAACTCCCACCAAGAAGATTGTATACATGGCGAGCACCAGGAGATCGTTCATGTCATATGATACGAAATCAAATTGATTACATCTTGATAATCAAAAGATTCCGCAACTATATAAAAAGGGTGACCACTTACCCTGGTGCGAACATCTCGTCTGACTACAACTCCCTAATCGTGAATGTAAGGCTTCGATTGGCGGAGGTTAAAAAGCCATCTAATAAAAAATACATAAACACTAGAGAATTAATGAGAGATGAAGAGCTTAGATCTACACGCAGTAAGCACATCAACGAGAACTTGAGAAATATACAAGCAAATTGCATAGAGGAAACCTGTGAGAAAATAAAAATAGCTATAGTCGAGGCTGACGAAGTAGTCGCAAGTAAAATAAAAAGAAATCACAAAATCGAGTGGACAACGGAAAAGATACTTGATCTAATGGTGCAATAAATTGCTTGGTGCTTTAATAATAAAATGGTGCTTTATTAAAAATTTATTTTTAATAAAGAAGTTGATGTGAATAGTGCGAATACGCACAAACAAAATGAATAACTCAACAAATAATCTATCCTGTATATTTACCTGTAGGCAATCTGATTTATTAGTATCATTCTTATTTGAATTTACCAACAACTTATGCTTACTACTGTTTGGTGATTCTTCTACAAATCTTGGTGGTGAGGTTTCAGTGGATATATTACTTTCATAATCTCTTTCATAACCTATCTCAGATACACCCATATCAGTAGTTCTTATTACTGCAGAGCCCACACTAGTATCGATGAATGAAGTTCTACAAAAGTATATTATACGTAGAATCTATGTAACGTATCTATTATACAGTAGGGAACAAAATTATGGAATCAATTCATTTTTTAGAGAATATGCGACTTTGGTGATAAATCCAGAAAAAAGTAGAATTTTATTTGTAAATTAAAATAGATATATTTTATCATAAAAAATATACTAAATAAAACAGAAATAAATGTTTATTTGGCAGATAAAAATTGCTTAAATAAATTAAATGTTCAAATTGCTCCCTTCCCGCCCTCTGATGTTTGGCAATAACTGAACCGACGAGGAAAATCTTCTTGAACATTTTGAATAATTTCTGCAATTATATTACAAATTTACCATAATCTTGTACATTTTGTAGTCAATCGATGTAAACTTTTGATTTTAAGTACCCTATAGGAAAAAATCAAATGGTGTAAGATCTAGAGATATTGGAGGCCAATCTATTGTTGATCGTTTAACAATATATCACCTAGGAAAACACTGTTTAAAAAGTTACATAGAAGTGCAAAAGTTATTAAAAAAAAAATCATCAATTACGTCATCAAGTACAAAAACAATAAATTTATTATATGATTTACCCCCACTATATATATATATATATATATATATATATATATATATATATATATATATATACTATAAGTATGTGTAACTATATATAACTAGCGTCAAAACAAGCCTATATAAAAAAAATTTGTAGGAGAGTATATTGGTTGATTAACCGTTGAGAAAATGATTGACTACTATATGTGAAAAGCAACTAAACAGCTCAGAAGGCCAATTATGAAGAATATTTCTATTAAGCAAAACGATGGCACGTTTGCTACACGAAAACTATACGAAAATATTTACCAGCGTGAACTTCAAATAAGCACTTATCTCTCGCTTCAATCTCATTACTGGTGTGATTTTAACAAAAGCATACATAGATTTTTATCAGACTAAAACAAAATATATACAGGTAAGTAAAAACAAAAAAATGGGGCAGCCACAAAATATAACAATAGGAGAATACAACATTGAAGGGGTAAAAAATTTTATATACTTGGGATCCCTAGTCACGTCTGATAATAACGTTGCGGAGGAAGTGAAGAGGCGAATATTTATTGCCAATAAGTGTTACCATGACTTAATTAGGCAACTAAGATCAGATCGCTGCCCCAGTGGAACAATGACACAACTACAAAAGTGTAACTTTTCAGGAGAGCCAAAAGGATGAAGGATAATGAAGTTATTGGATTAGTATTGCAGTTATACTTGGCCACCGTGATATACGGTAATTGTACTATACATTCAAATAAATTCTTAATTTTTTATCTCTAAATTTAATCCCCAATTGCAATTACGTAATTTTTGCCACAAAATAACTGAGGTAAGCAAACATTTGGGAAGGAATTGTAGTAAAAGCAAACATTTTTAATAAAATGGAACTTAAAAATAGAATTGATATTACAAAAAAAGTATCAACGAAAAATTAAATGGTAAAAGGCTTGACAAAATCCAGGAATTATATGTTTTGAAAGCAAATGTTTCAAGTTTATTAGTTTCTTATCATCTAAAGGAATTTTTGAAGAGTAAGCCCTACGCAGCTGGCATTTATGTGAAAACAATTCGGACGAACTCCGACCCCTTCTTTTTTGGCAAACAACAACTTTTGTCCACGTTGGTTGTTAATACTTTTTTTTATACCGAAAGTAGTCTTTCCCTTTTAAGATTTGAAGTAACATTACTTCAGTTATTTTGAAGTCACGGCCTTCCTCGTCTTTGGTGAAATCTAGTCCCATTCCATTGTACAGTACTTTTACATTGTAAAACTCAATGAAATCCATTTCTTGAAGGGTTAAAGGAGCTGCTGTTTTTTTAGTATTCCTAATTAATTCAACGTATTGCTCTGTAATGTATATTAGTCCTGATTTGGTTACACTCTTCACCGCTTTTTCTATTAGGCTGTGGACTGAATCACCTTTATTTTGGGTGTGACCGTGAACAAGGCACTTATGAGTAATACAATTGATGTCCAAAGTATTGACAGCCAACAAGTACATGGCTGTTAGAAATTTATTTTTTTGTAGGCCTCCACAATTATCGTAATAAAAATTCACATCAACTCCTGGACTGTTTATTGAGAATTCTTTTAGATAGTAATAAACGCAAGATCCGATTTCTATTGCCCCTCTATTTTCAATCACTTTATTCCAAAAGTAGCAGCTAGCTTTATTAATTCAAAAAATACCATCTGTTTCGGAGACTGGGGCCTTTTTTCGTCTTGAATTTTACTAGAAAGTTATAACAGTTTGAGCGAGAGTTGTAAAAAAATGCAGAAGATTCGCATTGGTCACAAAGATCTTTCTTTGGTATAAAAAAAACCCTATATTAAATTCGCTGTTGAAAATACGAGAATAACAACTGTAGGTTACTGTCTCTTCTTATTTTGCTTCTTTTCGTTCCTTTATATAGTTTCTGTGAAATTCCACAATAGTTAAACCACTGTCTATGTATTGCTTCGAATAATCACTTCGACGATAGTGACTTTTAATTCGTGGAATTGAATTTATATGGCTACGAGCAGAATCCAAAATTTTATCACTTATTTTCTTATGACTCTCGGGCTTCCCACGTTTATCTTCTGGTATAATAGTAGTTTTTTTTTAACTTGAAACTGCTTAATTATAGAGCAAATAGCTCTTTCAGTTATTCCAAAAGTATTAATGAGAAACATTTTACATACACGTTCTTGTTTTCCCTTGCCTGTAATGAAAAATGCACAATTTGTATTTCTGGGAGTGGTTTTTGATGTAGAAATACGACGGTAGCTCAACTCAAATGGCTGAATATAAGAAGCCAAAAAATAGCAACTCTTTAGATACCCTTTTTGGAAATTTCAAACGACATTTGTCGGTACACACAGGTCCCATTTTTTTAACACCTACAGGCATTCCTGTTCTAGAAGTATACTCCTGTCCAGAACTTTTTACTCTTTTCTTTTTTTCTGTCAACCCATTATCCACATTATTGTGGTGTTGGTGTAGTATTGGTGTTTGGGGATCTTGGTGTATATTTATGTCTGCTTCTTCTTCTGATGACGATGATACCTCAGTAGTGGAAGGATGATAGTCGTCACTACAACCTGAACTTAAATCTGAATCATCTGAACCATCTAATTCAAAAGAGCCTAATAATACTCTTCTCAAGCTTAGTTTGATCTCGCTTGCCCTTTTAACGATATAGGTATTTTTGTGTGGCCTGAACGTCTTTTATTCTATTTTGAGCTGCATTTATGGTTGGATTCTTTATACAGCTGGTTGTTACACTGTTTTGGTTTTCAGAAGAAACCAGTGCTTCAGGTTGGCTTACTGATACTTTATTTTCTATTTGTTCATTTATATTGCTTGTTTTTCTACTGTTTTGAGGTTCATAAGAAACCAGTCTTTTAGGCGAATTTTCTGTAACTTCATAATGTATTTAAAACCTCATAATGTATTTTAACAAAGAACATTTTTTGGCGAAAAACTAAAAATTACAGTGCTTCTGACGCTTAACCAATAGATCGAACCGATATTAAGTGAAACGTATTAAATTAATGCCATGCTAAAATGCCAACATAAAAATATTAGCTATATCATGCATTTAAATCTAATATTATTATAAACATAGTACTTACATAAAATGCACTTACGTCAATGTTGCTTCACAATAAGGAGAAATTCAGATGAAAAATAACACAGAATACAGTTACGTCAATGTTATTTGTGAAAAAATCAAACACAACTATATATTCTGTCGTTGTTTCTCCAAGATTGGCTGATTTTTCAAATATGACGCATCTACTTCCTGGTGGCTTAAAGCTGAACAACACGTCTGATAGTGATCTGACGAATGGGGTAATCAAGTTTGGATCCAATGACGACATAAAATCATTTTCGATAAATTTGCAGTTACGTCAAGGTTCCACCGGGACAGTGAGATAACGTCGCAAGAAAAACAAAATGCCAAATATACAAAACCTTAATAAGACCGGTACTCACATACGGCTCAGAAACCTGGACACTCACTAAAAGAGAGGAAACGTTGTTAGCCACCTTCGAAAGAAAAATTTTGCGACACATATATAAGGGCACAAAACAAAATGGAATATGGCGAAGAAGATACAACTTTGAACTATACAAAATATACCAGGATCCGGATATTATAAAATTCATTAAAATAGGACGGCTGCGTTGGATAGGACTAGTAGAAAGAATGAAAGAAGGCGAATTACCAAACAAAATATTCAAACAGATGCCAGTAGGAAAAAGAACAAGAGGAAGCCCAAAGCTGAGATACTTAGAATAAATAGAAAATAATATAACAACCGTAAAAATAAAAAACTGGAGAAAAAAAAGCACGAACCAGATCAGAATGGAGAAGAATCCTGGAACAGGCCAAGACCCAAAAAGGGTTGTCGAGCCAGTTATGATGACGATGATACATAGATTTTAAAATAGCATCGGTTTTACAATAGCATACTTAATTTTTTTAGAATTCATTATAAAATTAGATACATACTTATTTCTTGGATCTTTATTAGGGTGAACTTTATCATGCCTACAAACTCGACAGTTTGGATCACAATTACTTAAAGAGGTCTTGATACTTTTATCTACTAATGGATCTACATTACAACCAGTAGATACCAAATTATTTCTGATATTATAATCACACTTTTTCTGAGTACTGGTTTTTTCGATATTTTCGTATTCATTTTTGCTAATAATGTTATGATTTCTGCCACTATATAGGTCACAAGAGTGTGCCTTGACTTTTCTTATTTCATTAGCATTTGAATCAACACCCAAATTTCCTCTGGATATATGTTCTGTAGTATAGTGACTTTCTCCTCTAATTCTGATTGGTTCAGCTGAGTTTGCTCGATTACTGAAAAAAAAACAATTTTAGTTTTAATAGTAAAGAAAAAATACGGATCCTAATCGAACCTTCTAGTGGCCGGAAACGGTGGATACACAGATGAACAGAACATAAAAGACATTCTCGAGCACAACAAAACTATTTTGAAATTATGGTTATCTTTCGATGTAAAATACGCAAAAAATAATCTACATTATAAAAAATACTGTAAACGCACTATACTCTTGTGGTAGTGCGTTTAAATCCTGACACCATGTACAGAAAAATAATAAGGATAACGTAGTAGTTTCATATGTCTAGACTCACAAATCAACCAAAGTAATACATTAAACTAAAGAAGTCAGACGAAAATTTCTCTGATAGAATATAATAAGGAACTGAGAAGAGCAATAAGAGAATAATGAAAAAGGCATTACGAGGAGATAGAACAGACTGTGGACTTCATAAAGGCTCAGATAAGTATTCCCTCGCTTGAAAAGAAATCGGGTGAACATAATCAGAATGGTGAAAAGACCTTGAAACAAACGTTGAAGCTGCATTTTTCTAAAAGAAAAAACTGATACCAGTAGACATATAACAGCAGACCGAAGTGTATACTATGATTCTAGGAAAAACTAGAGTATCACTTCTGTAGTAAAACAGGATGGGCAATAAATTGCTTTAAACCATTTTAATCACCAGGTCCTAACGGTATTTATCCAATACTTCTACAAGAGGAAAATAACCTGTATAAAAAATTATGTACAGGCTGTCCCAAATTGGTATGTTTTGCAAGGTACACCGAAAACTAGAGGGAATAGAAAAAAATAGTTACGATGTCATGACTTCTGTTTTCGTTAAAGTAACGATTTTCTAATCAAATCATTAATAGCTCCCCACATTAGCGAGATACAGGCCGATTATTGAAAAATGTCGAACACAGCAGGATGAAATGTCTTCTTTATTAAGAAAAATTTTAAAAAACTTTATTGGAACTTTTGAAGGATATATTATGGAAGAGTTCAGTGGCGTACTAGAAATTTTTTTAGGGGGTCTCACTAAAGAAATATACTAACTTATGTTTTTTATATGGGACACCCTATATATTTAGACATTTTTCGTTTACATTTTTAATATTCTCTTTTACTTAGCTATAGACACTTAAAAACAAAACTCTCGCAACAATGGTAACGCATTTTAACATTTTATTATAAGGATACTAATCCCTTGACAGATTTAGCAAAAATAAAATCAGTACCTACCTAACTTGAAAGTAAAGCATATACTTAACTGCTTATTGTTGGTTCAACGTGAATTATTATTTTTAGTATTGATTCGATATTTTGTAAATAAAATTTTCACGAAATAGGACACACTGTATTGTATTACCTTTTTCGTGACGATTTATAATTTTTTTCGATATAATAGTAATGTTTTCCACTTTTTTATTATTGTACAGAAGCTATTTTCCTGTGACATCTTAATACAATTTACTATTTTTATTTTTGAATAAGCCACAATTTTACTAAAATAAGTATATTTTGACGTTTAGATTTCTGTTTAAAGTTAATTTTGTATCTAAAAAATATATTGTTACATTTTGTAAAAATAAACATTTCGTGTAGTAGGTTAAATTAAAAGGTAATAGATTATAGTAAAGGTTTTATTTAGCGATGAAGCACGCGTATCCAGTGTAGGAATATTTAACTGGCACAATGAACTATATTTGAATGACTCAAATCCTCACTTAGTTTAGGGGATCAGGAAAAAAGGTAGATTCGGTTTTAACTTTAGTGTTTTGTCAAGCATACTAAATTATTTTATGATAATATATATGATGATAAACTAACTTTTGTCGCATTTTTGTGTAGGTTAAAAACGAATTTAATTAAAATTTTTGATCAGAAATATTTGGCCGAGAGGAATACATTTTTGTTTCAACAAGCTGGAGGAGCTGCTCTTAATGCCGAATCCTTTGGAAATTATTTAAATGAAAATTTTTATAATCGGTTGATTGAAATTTATGATCCTTATTGACCAGAACTAAATTCTCCTGATATTTTTTATTTAGCGATTTTTAAAAAAACAGTATTTATAAAACTGACTGTAAAACTAAGGAAGAGTTATTACAAAGCATTCATCAAGTATTTAGAAAAATAAAGCCAATGCATATACTCAATGATATAAGATATGTATGTAAGAAAAAGGTGTCAAATATTAATATAACAAAACGGGATGCATTTTGAACATATATTTTAATTTTAAAATTTTTGTAAAATGAATTCTAGTTGTTCTGTTGTTTTTTATTGTTGTTTTTATGTTTCTTCTTCTTCTTCAAGTTCCACTCCTATCGGAGATTGGAAATCATTCTGGCAATTATAATTTTATTGGTTACTCGCCTATGTTTAATAAACTTATGTTTATTATAATGTTAATATTTTTGTAAAATCAATTCTGGTTGTGAAGTAGTTTTTATTCTGGGAAAATTTTTTATTTCCATTTTTTAAGTTGATCGATCTTCTTTCTGGCAAATAAAACTGTGAAGGATTATTATCCGCATAATAAAATGTTAGAATGTGTTACTGAGTGTTTTGTTTATAAGTGCCTATAACGTGAAGTCAAATAAACAATTTATTTGCAAAGTAGCTTAACGACTGAAAATAAATATATAATACGTACACAGAGTGCAATAGGTTCAGAAAAACCAAGACGTAATTTTGGGCGCATTTCTCGATATAAAAGTAGCATTTGACAACATCTCGTTGCCAAAGCAATTATAAGGGCGATTCGTTTTAAGGAAATAGACGAAAGAAGATGCAGATGGATAGGCTGCATCTTAAGTCTTCGTGCAATATACGCAACGTTACTAGGGAATACAGTGTCAGCACAAGTAGTCAGTCGTCAGAGGGAGCTTTATCTTCTCTCTTGTAGAATCGAATCATAGATGAGCTGATATCTAGGCCCATCAATGACAGGCGTTATGTTTTGTGCTATGCGGATGACCTGGTTATCTTAGCCCATGGCAAATAAATTTACGGCACACTCAGAGATAGAATGCAATAGTACTAGTAAAGTAAAGTAAAATATCTTAAAGTAATATTTGACTTGAGGCGTACTTAGAATCATCATTTAGAATAAGTAACCAACAAAGCGGTAACTATGGTAATGGTAGCCAGACGCACTCATTTAAAAATTTAAGCTTTAAAACGAGAAATGTTATACTGGATTTATAACATGGTGGAAAAACCAACAATTACATATGCATCAGTAGTTGGTGGCTTAAATTACAGCAAAAACTAAGTGCAAAAGTTTCTTGAAGGTTACTAGACCTGCCTTCTTTGCACAGATTTATAAGGAGATACTATAGAGTGCAGCAAAATTTAAGCTACAGGTTAGATTCCGGTTATATCAGGACAAAGTAACAATATAAATGAAATTAAGGATACCTAATTGATGATGATTTCTGACCATATTGCACCCAGATATAGGCCTAAAGTACCTCTGTAAGTAAGTGGGCACTTACCCACAAGAGGGATGGGACAGAGGAAACACTGGACTTAGACTGCAGATGTATACCTGGTACACACGGGTCTAAAACTGCAGAAAGAACAACTGCAAGGATGTTTAATAGTAGCGGAAATTTAAATATGTCTATTCCACTAGGACAATTAACCACTGTATTTCAGGCAGATGTTTTTGCACGACAATAAAAGAGCAATTGCCAGAAGAGCATCAGCTACAAAATACTACGTTCCAAAACCAGGCGATAAAGTGCCCAAAAAGCATGGTCTGTGACCGGAAAACCTTGTCAAACATACGGCAAAATGTATACTGGACAGACATGCGCTAATAGGGCTGAAGTTCTGTGGAAAATAGCAAAAAAAAAATTCTGTAGAGTCATAACAGGCTTCTTTACTAAATATGTGCCAGCCAAGGGGCACCTGCATATAATGTGCAGACTCTGTAGTAAAAAACCTGAAACTCTTGACCATATCTTGCATGACTGCATATTGGTATTAGATCGCAGGCGATACCCACTTTTTGGAGACTGTCGAGTAAATTAAAAAACATATGGTACCCATCCACTAAACCTGTATATTGTACAAGCTATAACAGAATTCCAGAATCGTAGAATGTGTGTCACGAAGAAATGGAAGATGTATAATAAATCAACTCGCTGCAGTACGATCGGTTTACAATAGACGCCTTCCAGGAAAAAAAAATCTGAACGATGTTTGAACGAGTTTGAGTCTGATAAATATGCAGGTCAATTAATGGATGGTTTTTCCATTTGGTTTACAAAATAGCTTACACTCAAATCATAACTTAAATCAATAGAAAAAAGCCATTTTAAAGTTAGCAAGGTAATAAATTTACGGTAGTAAAGGTAATTTCAAGTTTGACGTTACTTAACTTGATTATAAACCTACAAATATACAAATGACACAATAATAGTTCTAAGAACTTCGCCGTCTTATTATATATATCCAACACAATTATCAAAAAAAGTATCACTTTTATTTCATAAAATTTAGCTTCCTTAGTTTAAAATTCCTTTAGGAAGTAAATTTCATATGTCTACATGTATTCAATATTTTAACCAATCAATATAATTTCTTTTGAAAACAATTCCAACTTATTGCTGCAAATAAATAAATCAAATTGTAAATTTAAATGTTAAGTTAAAATATTTACTTTTCAGCCAAAAGTATCTGCAAAAATTGACATGTCTGAAATATCTAAAATATCGCCAAAATGTTTTTTATTGCATTAGTAGTAAAGTCCTTTTACCCTATGACGGCCGATATGCAATTAAGATATGATCAGTGGACCTCAAACAGTGGGGATTTGCCTCAAATACATCAAAGACTTTACTTTCTGCAGAGACTGTAATAAATATAACCTTGAAAGAAAATTGGTACTAAATTACCTTCCAGTTTTCAGCAAATCAAAAGGTTTAAACACGTGTAGTCCAGTTAGTAATACCAAAGCCATTGAAATTGAGAATATGCAGTCCAGTAATTAGACCGAAGGTGCTTTATCGTTTAACTAAAACACACCACAAAGTCCGAATTGAATTCCCGAAACACTTTTTTGTTACTTCTTTTTAGCAAACGATTTGTCCTATTCACTGTCTGATATTTCATTATCAGAGTAGTTACTGTCTGAATTGTCTATCCGAATAATTAGAGGCCGGACCTCATCTATAACTCGCTCGGTTTAAAAAGACTGAATGATTATGTCTTCCGTATGTCTAATACAATTTTGCCATTGTTCTACCTTTATTTGTTCTAGCGATTCTTTCCATAAACTAAGCACGCTAGCGCCATCTGTCGTTTTGGATGCATGTTTATTATAAAAATTTTTGGCTATACCCCAAACTAACTCAATTTCATTATAGTCGCAATGGTATGGCGGAAGTCGAAGAACTTTATGGCCATATTTAAGAGCCATTTGGCCAGTAACAAATTTCCTTTGAATGTTGCTCTCCACACCTTTGAAGTAAATCAACTTTTAAAAATATGTCATTGTGATAAATTTTCTTTTTTGACAACCACAACTTTATTTCTTCTTTTGTGAAGCTGCTTGAAATAAATCCCTCTTCTATTCTTGAGTGGTAGGATGCATTACAACAATCCAACACTGTTATGGATTTTCATTGTAATCACCTGTATTCTTTGTGAACGAAAAAATTAAACTAGCGTCAGGAATAAAACCCTCATCATTTCCAGCATGAAGTGTAATGTAGCATTTACCATTACCGGAACGACTAGAAGAATAATATTACCTGGTGCCATCTTGTCAGGATGATTTCGACATATTTTCTTTAGCGAAAATCCAAGTTTCATCTAAAAATACAACTTGGCTCGGACTATCAGATGTTTTATTGTTCATGTATTTTCTTAAAAAATGCCACCGTTTTGAAACAATATTAGAGAGTCTACACAATTCTTGTGTATTATTTGTCTTTTTATATCAAAAATCTATTTGTCCTTTTTTTGTAACACAGCCCTAATTGTTACATGTTCTTTGGCTTTATACATACATACACATATATATATATATATATATATATATATATATATATATATATATATATATATATATGAATATATATATATATATATATATATATATATATATATATATATATATATATAGTAAAACCTCCGTTAACCCAAATAATGGGGGAGGGAAGCCGTTTCGGATAACAAGAATTTCGGTTAAAAAAAAACATTGTTTTTTATAGTATTCTTGGTTAAAGTATTGTTATTAAATAATACTATGAGGTGATTTTGCAATGTTTCTAATAAGTAAATACAGAATAAAGCAATACAATTAAGGAAAATGAACAAGTTTAACAAGTTTTTTAAAGAAATCTTCTATTTTCTTTAACGTTATCGTTTTACAACGTCGTGAGTTTGCCTAATTTCATCATTCGACGAAACGTAAAGCAATCTGAAAAGGACAAAACTTTATACAATGATAACAAAAATTAAGAACCTAGTCGTCTCCCTAACATATTAAGCCTACTGTATAAAATTCTTCTCCTTAAAGCATTGAAAATCTCGTCGGCGGTCTCATGCTGCGTGTTGTCTGTTGGGTCGTCATCTTCGTCGTCTGATACGCTGAGGTTGTCTGGATGAGGATCGATATCAATGATGTCCTGGTCGATGAATTCACTTTCTAAATCATCGGCTGCTAACCACCCACGTATCTCTTCTTATTTAATTTCGTCACATCCCGGCAAATTTTTTATTAAAGATTTAATTTCTTCTGTCGTTTCTTTGCCATTTTCCCATTTAAACATTTGAGGATTTCAGGAACACTTTTAGATTCATTTGTCTTCTGTAATAATACATGTCTTAAGAATGCTCCTCTATAATGTCTCTCGAATGTCTTTATTAGTCCTTGGTCTAACAGCTGAATTAAGTTCGTGACATTCGGTGGCAAAAATCTGACAATTATCACTATTATATAGATTTTGCCTCAACAAGCAACAATGCTTTGAAGGGAAGGTTTTTTATTTTAAAAAGGATTTTACGTTTGGGACGAATTCATTTTCAACTATTCTGAAAATAAAGTGGTCGACATCCATGAGCTTTTTTGGCTTCTATAAAAAACTGGAAGTGTTTTTCTCAAATATCTTTTAGAGCTCTTGGTTTTTTGATTTCCCAACACACATACGCATTAATCGGTGAGTGAAATTGATAGAATTTACATTTTGCGATAAAAATTTACTTTTTATCGACGAAATTATTGAAACTGTCAGCCGTTTCGGTTAAACGATGATTCTATTAAAAAGGTTTCGGTTAAGGGAGGTTTTACTGTAATATTTTTAATTGCAAGTTTAATTCATTGGTGCAAATCTAAAGTTTTTGGATGTCGATTATTTCTCTTGCTTACTTTATTTATTTCATTCTCACTCATGGTATTAATTCTTGGAATGTCCTCTCTAAGATACCGCGAGCATTGCATGTATTGATTTGCGATTGAAATTACTTTCGACTTTCAGAACTAAACGCCGTTCTTCTATAGATAACACTACGTTTCGACTGTATTTTATTTTCTTCCAAATTACTCATTTTACCTTAAAGTACCGCTTCACTACACAACTATAAAAAATAGGTACTTATATACAACTACTATACCCTAAAAAGGACGAGAATTGTACAAGAGACATAACAATCGAATACAAATTGTTTAACAGCCAATGCTAAACAAGCATAAACACTTCATTGATTGTGATTACAAAAACTGTTCGCATGTTTTAAATAAGATTTTTTCTGATTATGTATTTTTCTAAATTATTAAATAACACCAATACAACCCACGACCATCAATTAAGTTTTAACGATAAACAGAAATGTAATTTGATGACAAGTTTAAATTTGATCTACTTTGTCGATAACAGTGTTGTTAATAGAAAGATATTTTTAAATAGCATGAATCATTTTTCAATGTTTGTGTGGATTTAAGAAATAAATTTGTAAACAAATTTTTAAAGTGTGTATAAAGGAGATTACAATCATTATGACACATGGTACTGCTTATTTTTCAAATAATATGTTCTTGTAAAGGCACATCTATTGCAATAAAATATTAAAACCATTAAAATAATAACTTGTTGAGCAGTGCTGATTGAAACAACAGAGCAGTAAAATGTTCACAAAGGTTCAGTTCATAAAGGTAGTGTAAAATATATCGCCGTTTATCTGGTCCGCTAGTAATAAAGTTACCAGCATTTAATTGCAAAGCGGTCTTCTTAGGTGGAATATACTTTATTCACCCTTTATAATAACATATTCAACTAGTAATCAGTAATCTTACCTTTCAGTAACTCTAAAGCAAGTAACATCTCTACAAGGTATATTATTTAAACTATCTGTTTTCTTTTCGTCATCAATATTTGTTAGATTCTGCGTGGGAGTCGATTTTTTGGAAGCTTCACGACGAAAGGGGTTTAGCCAAGTTGTATCTAATAAAGAAAACATTCTTCTACTTGATTCAGATTTTTTGGAAACATCGTTAGTATCTTTATCAGGCGTGTCACCTTTATTCACATCTCTGTAATTATGAGAATATTTAGAATTCACTGTAACGTAGATCGTGAAAGTTTAGACAAACAGCTTATAATAATCATATAAGTAAGGAACAATAATTAAATTCGTTGAAACTAGACTTGTATCTGTATATTACCATAGATTCTAATTCTAAAAAAATGTTTACAAAACGGATAGCTTCAGGAAAATTCTCTTACGTATTCTACACACGAGCCTGAAACCTCTAACGAAAATAAGGCGTTTAAAAAATGGCATACCAAACCATACTTTATTCAGATTTTGATTTTGATTGTAAGTTTGCTTATTTTGAAGAGTTTTCTATATCGTCTGTATAAAAACTATCACTTAATAGTAATGGAAGGTAATTTTTGGTTGTCCATAATGTTGGTTGTGTTACGTAAAGAATTATTTCGGCGGTATTTATTCTGAACATTTTTTTAAGTATCTAAGGTAGGATTGATTTATTTTTGTTGGTAGTCTTGTATTGACCTTTAGTTGCTTTCTAATTAAATGTAGATGCGATATTTTACGTATAATTTTTGCAAAATTTTCTGGTCAGTCCACATTTCGAAGGCATCTATTTTTCTTGGGTTAATTAACGTTCGTGTCTAAGATGCATATGTGGCAATGGATTGCATATGTGGAAAAATGAATGTGTTTAACAATCTTGGTTTCATTTGTTCGTCTAATGAATAGGTTAGGTAGACAAATCAAAAAGGAACATTGGCAGAACTTGTTAAAATATATGGAACACGACTTATACGGAACTCAAAAAGAAAGGCTAATTTCGATTCCTATTTCCTAAAAGTGATGAATTTGGCAAACCAACTATTAAAACTAATACAAAAAATAATATAACAATACAAGTGCCACAAGAATGGAGATCAAGCACCCTAATACTTTTCTTAAAAAAGGAAGACTAATCGGACCCAGAAAATCCTAAAATAAATAAACAAAGTGATAACAAATTAATGAAATGAAATTATAACACTAGCATAAAAACAACAACGTTTTAGCTCAGGAAATTCATGCCCTACGCTATATTTATAATGAGGCAAAAATAATCATTGTAACACAAGAAACCGGTATATCTATGTTTCGTGGACCTCAAAAAGGCATTTAATCGGGTCAAATTAAAGAACGTTATCTACTTATTGTACATAAGAGAGATCCACCAAAAAAACTTAATAACATTAAAAGTACATCGTAGTAACCTGATTTTGATTCTTCTTCTTCAGATGCAAATCCACTAATGGATGTTAGCGATCACATTTTCCATAAATTCTCTATTTCTTGCAATATGTATCAGAGATTGTATGTCGTTAATCCCTGTCCATTGCCTTATGTTTCGGAGCCAGGACATTTTCTTGCGTCCCATTCCTCTCTTGTCTTCAATTATACCCTCGATTATAAGTTGGAGGAACTGGTATTTTTCATTTCGCATGATGTGACCTAGATACGCCGTTTTCCTTTTCTTGATGGTTTCGAAAAGTTGGCGTTCTTGGTTTATTCTTTTAAGGACATCTATATTTTTCCTATCCATGGTATTTTTAGGATACGGCGATAAAGCCACATTTCGAAAGCTTCTAATCTGTTTATATCCCTCGTTTTAAGTGTCCAGCCCTCTACGCCATATAGCAACACTGACCATACGTAGCACTTAGTAAACCTTAGTCTCAGTTGAAGATCGAACTCTGGACAAGTCAGTACCTTCTTGAATTTTACCAAAGCTTGTCGAGCTTGCTCAATGCGACATTTTACTTCCCTGTCCGATGCCCAGTCTTTAAAAAGCCACGATCCCAGGTATTTAAATTTACTCACTCTTTCTATGGATTTACTATTCAGTGTTATGGTGGAGTTTTCAAGTGCATCCAAGTTTTTTTAGATGATCATGAATTTGGTCTTTTTGGTATTAATCTCTAATCCCATTCGCTCACTGTATTCTTCGATTATAGTGACAAGTTGTTGAAGATCGACTATGTTGTCACAAATTAAGACACCATCATCAGCATATCGTATGTTGTTGATCAATACTCCATTAACCTTGATTCCCATCTCTGCATCCTCCAAAGACTCTTGAAATATGGCTTCCGAATAAATGTTATATAAAAGAGGGGAAAGCACACATCCCTGTCGAACGCCTCTTCTTATATGTATGGGCTTGGATATAGAATTGTCTATTTTTAGCTGTGCCGTTTGATGCCAGTACAAGTTTTCAATGCATCTTATGTCTTTTTGGTCTATATCAACTTTCTTGAGAATCTGCATTAACTTGTGGTGTTGGACACGATCAAACGCTTTTTGGTAATCTAAAAAGCATAGGAACACATCCTTCCTCTGATCGTAACAATTTTGGACCAGCACCTGAGTTGCTACTATTTTGATTGGTAATGATTTTGATGGGTACTGATAAATCGTGGCATTTGAATAGCTTAGCCATTTTTTGAAATGCAGATCTTGCTTTCTCTATTCTAGATTTTATTTTTAGGGAATTTTCCCAATTTTCATTGACGTGGCATTTATTTACCAATTTTGTAAAGTGCACAGTTATACAATAATACATAATTTTTACTTTTTAAATATTGGGGAAAAAAACAATTTATAATAAGAATTTCTTTTTAGCATCTATTAAATTCCCATCTTATAAAATAAGATTGCTGAATGCAACTGAAAATTTACGGAACAAAAAAGTAACAACTGAAATTTTCAGATACTGAAGAAAAATGTGCACGGAAATCGAAAAACTGGATCAAAAACATTACATATTAAACTTACATCGTGGGAAAAAAGAATTTACTTTTAAGAAACGACATAGCCAATAGTTGCCAATAGCTCAATTCCGGCTTTACGATTGGTCAAATGGCAACCATAATTGCAGACAATGGTATTGACTGAAATTGAGCATCGGCTGTTGTGCAAGCTTCAATGACAGAGCGCCATGAAACAGTTGACCTACTTAATTACATATAAATATAGGTGCACAACGACCAAAAATTCGTTCTGGTCTGGACATGGATCCGCAGAACCAGACTTCTTGGCATTAGAGACCTTCTGGTAGATTTAGTTCCCAGAAACTCTGACTTTTATTGTACCTAACCGCTATTCTTTTATTGCAGGATTTTTGTAAGTTCCCTAGCTGGACTAGTATAATTCCTATGTATGCTATGGATGCCTGTATGTCCTATGCTGGACCTGAGTGTATAATTTATATTTAATTGTATTTATTTCAGGCATTTTCAACTTAGAATATTTCTCGTGAAATATTTTATTTCGATTTAAATAGGATTTTTGACTTAGTATAATTTTGTATTTTATTTCTATTTTTATAGGTGTTTTTTGACTTATTCGTAAAAATATTTCGAAAAAAAAATATTTATTTCAGATTTAATTCATATTTTTAACTTTCAGGATATGGAATGCATAAACGGACGGAATAGTTTTCATATTTTATTTATTTGGTATTTTTCTAGGAATTTTAACTTTAATTCTTTGACATTTTAATAATGTTACAAAATTATTTCTCTTTTAGATTCTCTGATCTCTCTAACCAGTTCCTGAACAGAAGAATTTTTATAATAGTTTTTAATATTTTTCTTTCCAGCGACTTATTACAAATTACTTCTTTCCATGTGTCTTCTTCTTTTGGCATCATAACCCTGGATGGGTCTTTGCCTGTCTGGCTATGTCCTTCCATTCAGATCTCTCTTATGCCCTTCTTCTCCATTGTCTTATGTTCATTGTTTTCAGGTCGTCTTCCACGTCATCCAACCATCTCGTTTTTGCCGTCCTTTTTTTCGCCTTCCTATGGGCTTCCATTGTAATATTTTCTTTGTTGTTTTTGCATCGTTTTGTCTCTGCACATGTCCCAGCCATGACAGTCTTTGACTTTTCACAAATCTTACAATGTCATAACCTTCATTTAACTCATTAACCTTGTCGTTTCTCCTGTTTCTCCATGTGCCATCTTCCTCTTGTACTGGGCCATATACTTTCCTCAGTATTTTTCTCTCGAATGTCCTGAGTTAGGCTTCATCTTTTTTCGTCATTACCCAAGTTTCACATCCATAGGTTACTACGGGTCTAATCAGTGTTCTGTAGATAGTCATTTTGGATCTTTTGTCTAATAATTTCGATGTCATCAATCTTTTATTAGCATAGTATGTACGATTCCCGCTGGAAATACGTGCATTAATTTCGCTACTTACCGGGTTCTTCTGATTGATTTCTGTGCCGAGATATGTAAAGTCATCCACTCGTTCGATAGTATAGTTGTCTTATTTTCATTGTCAGTTATTCTTTTGACTGTCATATGCTTCGTTTTTGCTTCGTTTATTTTGAGACCTCTTTTTCTTGCTTCAGGATCAATTTGTTTGAACACTTCCATTAGTCGTGGCTTATTCCTACTAATGATGGCTACATCGTCTGCATCATATGCAGTAATTTGTACTGATTTGGTGTTTATATGGCCGGTTATATTGGTTTTTCTGATGACTGCCTCAAAAACTAGGTTGAATACCATGGTTGATAGGGCATCTCCCTGTCTTACTCTCATGTTGATGTTAAACAAGGGAGTCAGTTCTCCATCTACTCTGACTGCCACTTTTGAACCCTGCAACGTCATTTTTATGAGGCTGATGTATATCTTAGGTATAACTAGATTACAAAGGTCTTCCAGCATTCTGTCTCTTTTTACACTATCAAAAGCTTGTTTAAAGTCTATATACATATTACATAGGTCTATGTCGTATTCATAATCTTTTTCTTGTATCGTTCTTAGGATGAATATGTTATCTGTAGTGGCTCTATTTGGTCTGAATCCATTTTGATAATCACCAATTATATTTTCGGAGTATTCTAATAATCTATTGTAGATTATACCAGAAAGAATTTTGTATATTACATTTAGCAATGTAATTGGCCTATAATTCTGGCATTCCCTCTTATCTCCTTTTTTATATATTGGCTGTATAAGGCCAACTGTCCATTCCTCTGGCATTTGCTCCT